ATGTGTGTATATATATGTTTGTATATATGTTTGTATATACCGGTAAATACTAAAATAAACTACTACTTACTACTTGTACTAATATCCCTATGTTGCGGTTTTTCACTTATTGTGGGGCTTCAGGGTATGGATCCCCCATGATAAATGAGGGACTACTGTAACCAGGGAAAACCCTCGCACAGAAAGAACATACAAACTCCACCCAGAAAGGCCCATGGCCAGGATTTGAACCAGGGCGACCTTCTTGCTGAGAGGTAGCAGGCTAGCAGCTCTACCTACTGGGCCCCCGTGCTGGCCAGAAAAAGAATAAGATTAATGAAAAATATAAAATTGCAAGTGTATTCATATTATATTGATGTTTGCTTATCTCTTAAATAGAATTTATCAATACACATTATTTTGTTGTTTGTTTAACAAAAGAAATGCAAAATATACAATTGTAAGCATGTTTAAATTATATTGGTGTTTGCTTACGATTGGACTTCTGCGCTAGGCATGGGTTGTCTATAACAAACCCCATATTTGAGCATATCGTAGTTCATAAGTGTACTTGGTACCAGTCCATCTTGGGCCAAACATCAATGATTGGTTTTGTAATTATGTTATCAGACCTAGGGCCCATGTCTTGGACACTTGAGTGAAAAGATGGGCAGAGCTGTCTAGTGATATCACGAAATCTGATTTGATACCCCACCAAATTGAATTATCCATTCAATTGCCAGATGGCATCACTGATTGTGGTGTGGGGTGCTGTTGACCTCAATCAGTGATGTTGTCTAGTGATTGAAAGAATAATTCTTGGACCTTCTCAATCCCACCAGTACGTCATTCATGGAAGAAGTGGAGTCGGGGGACTTGAGGGTTGATCTGTCTATATGCTCCATGAGTATTGGATTGAGGGCCCATTGCTACAGGTCATTCAGTCACTATACAAGCAGTGCAAGAGTTTGTCTGCATTGCTGGCAGAAAATCAGACCCTTTCATGGTGGTAGTTGTACTCCGCCAGAACTGCCCATTGTCATCAACTCTGTTCATAACTTTTATGGATAAAAGTTCTTGATGTAGCCAGGGGGTGGAAGGAAACCAGTTCGGTGGCGTCAATATTTCCCCTGTGCTATTTGCAGATGATGTGGTCCTGTTGGCGTCATTCTGCCATGATCTTCAGCCCTCACTGGAGCAGTGTGTAGCCGAGTGAGCACCAGTTGAGATGAGGATCAGCACCTCCAAATCTGAGGCCATGGCTATCAGAATCAGAATCAGAATAAACTTTATTGGCATTGCACCGAGATACAACGCGAATATGTACGTACAGTCGTCCGAAGATGGGCGGAGTGCATGAAGCTGCGGCTAAAATAATCAGAGCGGCCTTCTTATTCTTATTCAGAATAATATTTTGCTTAGATAAGAAAAGGAAAGAAAGCATGAGGAGAGACGGTATAAAAAAAAGATGTCTCACACCGTGTCCTAGACAGGGCACAATTTGAGGCATCAAAAAAACCTACCACAGCAAAGCAACATAAACAAACGTTATACATTTACATATAGGCGGTGAAAATATTGAATTTTTAAGGGAAAGTCATAGCATAGTCCAGAGCCCCCCCCCCTCAGCCATTGTCCAGATAAGAGGTGACGTTCATCTTCAGCTCAGTTGAGGTTCTGTCACATATCCACTGCCTTGGGGAAGGGAGTGTTGAGGAGACAGTCAAAGCATCTTTGTTGTTTTCAAAACATTCCAGGAGGAGTTGAGATAAGTCCGGCATCAAGGCCACAGTTTGGGTCAGGCAGAACTCGTAATTGTTGTTTCTGCCTTTAAAGTCTCGCTGGTACATATTCTCTGATGGAAACTCCAAAACAGCCGAAATGATCCTTTACTCCAAAGGTCGAGCTCACAGCTTCTCCAGATTATTCCCACCATTCATGAGTGCTGCCAGGGAGAACACAGTCCTGATACAGCTGCTCCAATTCCCTGTCACAGCTCCACATTCAGTCCGAGCACTGTCAAGCTTCAACACCTCCACACAAATTTGTAGACAACCAGATTCCACCAACCCAAACAGTAGATTCTAGTCGTCATCATGAATCCAATTTTTCCTCTAGAGTTCAGAGTGTCCTTCTTACCCTGACTCCTGTCGGGAGAAGTTGATCGATTTTGTTGAGAGACCAGTTGATCCTTCCAATTAAGAGGTATGCAGGAAAAAAAACAGGCTTTTTAAGGGTTCACAGGACAAAAGAGTGCAGCAGGGAAGCGGGTGGGGGGGCAGAGAGGGAAAACGCGTCTGGTTTCACCGTAGAATAGAAAGAAAAAAAAAAGTTGGAAAAGGGTGGATTGCCAATTCCTGGTTGTAGTGTGAGGTGCTGCCTCAAGTGGAGTAGGTCAAGTAACTCAGGAAATTGTTCATGAGTAAGGAAAGAATATAGCATGAGATCTACAGACAAATCGAAACAGCTTCTGCAGTATTGCATACACTGTGTGAGTCCATTGGGGTGAAGAAGAAGCTCTGTTTGCTAGTTGGTCTATGTTCCTACCCTTAACTATGGTTAAAGTATCTGATAAGGATGCCCTCTGGGTGTCTCCCTAGGGAGGTGCTCTGGGCATGTCCAACTGGGAGGTGACCTTGGGGAATACTCGGACATGCTGGAAAGACTACATCTCTTGGCTTGTCTGGGAGTGTCTTGGAATTCTCCCAGAAGAGCCGGAGGAGGTGGATGTGGAAAGAAATGTCTGGTCCTCTCTGGATAAACTGCTGCCCCCATGACACGACTCCAGAACAAGCAGAAGGTGGATGGATGCACAGGTTTTGAAGCAGACATTATTTTAAGCCTAACCAGAAAATGAGCCTGGTCTACTTCCTAACAACTTCAACCCTGCTATCTTTGTTCATTTTAGTTAATTTGGTGGCTTACACATCTATTACAACAAAATGACCAGTTGGTCACTAGAAGCTCCTTTTTTCCCCTATTCATTCAACCTTTATTTATACATTTGATTTAATCATTTGCACTTGTTGAATCTAGATATTAATTTAGTGATTTGGACAGTAGATAAAAAAATGCAGATTGTTTATTTTTTTCCTCAAACCTAACAGAGAATACTGTAACTCCAAGATACTGGATTTAAAAAAACAACAACAAAAACAAAACATTTAAACAAGGTTGTGTTGCTTTGTTGTGGACTAGCAGGCCATAAAATAATTTCACCTACTTCATAAATAAAACAGTTTGAAATAAAATTATTTAATATTTTTTCATGATTGTCTTAATTCAAGCTCTTGTTTGAAGAGGCCTTTAAAGGCACTGACTGTTCACCATTTGTATCTAAAACTGTCTTGAGGGTAGATTGCAATTTAAATGATTACACAAATGATTCATTTAAATACAATGATGTCTTCATACAAATCTAATGAGGAAACAAACTACTGTATTTGTCATTGGTTAAACACTTTTAGCAACAAAAAAATAAATAAATGCTGCAAAAGAAATTAGGACCTTAAACAACCTTTTGGTATACTTTGCATAGAATCATCAAAATAAATAAATAAAATAAAATACCAGTGTAATTTTATTTTGTTTTATGTGTTTAAGCAGACATTACTTGGTTTTATGAGAATAAATGACAGAATTGATGTATTTTCTTTCTTTGTTTTCAGGTGTGATTTCCCATGAACATCAGATCCTTATTTCAGACCTGATGCAGCAGGAAAATGGCTCTGCAGCTGTCGGCGACAGTGTTTTCCAGAACGGGTCCTCTGAGAAAATTCATGGAGAAGAGAGTTTCATCCATCAAGCCATGGAAATTATCATTGATGAGGCAGTGAAAAAGGCCACAAACGTGAATGAAAAGGTA